ACCTTCTCTTCTAGCTCATGATGTGGTCCTCAGCTTCTTGTAGTGTACTCTTGATGCTTTATATTGTGTTCTTTATTGCAGTGATGTCATTTTTCATTTCTTCTTGGTTTTCCATTTCTTCTTGGTTCTTACACATATTATTGAATTTGTTTTCCATTCTTTTCAATGTCCTTATGACCATTGCTCTGAATTCTTTCTCTGACATATTGCTTGCCTCCATTTCATTTACTTCCTTTTCCTGTGATTCCTGCTTTTCTTTCATATGGGGGCTGTTTCTTTGTCTCCCCATGTTTGCTCCTCTCCGGGGGTCTGGTATGTAGCTCTCTCTCTCCTGCGTTGACTCTCTCTTGGCAATCTTTGACCTTTCTGTCCACATATTGCCTCACCAGCTGTGTTTAACTTGCCAATTCCAGGTGGATGTTATTCAAGTCAGCTATTCCTTCTATCTCCTCTGTGAGAAGGCACAGGATATTGTGCAGATGTTGGTTTGTTGCATGTTGTCCCACAGTTCCCTTAGGCTCTCCTCCTGTTTTTTAAGATTTTTTTTTCCAGTTGCTGTTCAGCTTGTGTGTTTTTTCCTACCTTGTCTTCTAGCTCATGATGTGGTCCTCAGCTTCTTGTAGTGTACTCTTGATGCTTTATATTGTGTTCTTTATTGCAGTGATGTCATTTTTCATTTCTTCTTGGTTTTCCATTTCTTCTTGGTTCTTACACATATTATTGAATTTGTTTTCCATTCTTTTCAATGTCCTTATGACCATTGCTCTGAATTCTTTCTCTGACATATTGCTTGCCTCCATTTCATTTACTTCCTTTTCCTGTGATTCCTGCTTTTCTTTCATATGGGGGCTGTTTCTTTGTCTCCCCATGTTTGCTCCTCTCCGGGGGTCTGGTATGTAGCTCTCTCTCTCCTGCGTTGACTCTCTCTTGGCAATCTTTGACCTTTCTGTCCACATATTGCCTCACCAGCTGTGTTTAACTTGCCAATTCCAGGTGGATGTTATTCAAGTCAGCTATTCCTTCTATCTCCTCTGTGAGAAGGCACAGGGCCCAACTATATTTGGCACTACTTTGTCTACCCCTGGACAAACTTTTTAGGCACCTGTGGCCAGGGAGGCTGGAGTCTCAGTGTTAGTGGGTTTGCAGCTGAGGCAGCTGGTCCCTGGGCATTGTGGTTGTAGGGTCCTAGGAAGTATCTAAGGTCTCCCCAGTTGAAGGTAAGGGTGGGCTTCTGGTAATAGTTGCTCTCTCCTTCAAAGTGGTGCAGTCTCTGCAGGAGACCCAGCCGCTCCGAGAGAGATTTCAGCAGTAGTAGAGGCTGCCTGGCCAGGGGAGGCTAGTCAGTCTCCAAAAGTCCTGTGGAATATAGATGTCCCTCACTCAAAAATACAGACACTCCCTGCATGTCCACGTGCTCTCCTTTCACTCTTTCACTCACACACTATCTTGCAGCCTGCGTCCCATCAGCCGCCATCTTCTGTCTCCTATTCTTTCTTTAATACCTTCTTAAGATGACATCCAGATTTGACTTTTGGAGCTATAAAAGTCAGCCCAATCACAGTTCATCATTTTTTTAAAAAAATCAGAAAATGTATCTAATTAAACTAAAATTTACCTTTTATAACTTCCACCCATAGAATACTTTTATCTGGTAGACATTTTGTTATTTTTTGATAGAAATCATTCCTGCCACTCTCCCTTTCCACCGTATTACCTTTGTTACAAGTTATCTTTAAACAATATCTCCTTTCAGGAGGAATGAATACCTCCACACCTTCCATTGTATTTAGACTTAATTCATGAGTCATTGAGGATCTAATATGTGTTTGAAACCTTAAATAGAAATTATTAAAAGTGTGGGCCCATTTAGTCATCACCTTAAAAATCAGTTATTTTTATTATTAATGCTTCACTATTGCTTTCCTGTATATACACACAAGTTTTATATCTATCTCATTAATTTTTATTGATTTCAGAGTGGAAGGGAGAGAGAGGGAGAGAGAGATATAAACATCAGTGATGAGAGAGAATCATTGATCAGCTGCTTCCTGCACTCCCCCTACAGGGGATAGAACCTGTAACCTGGGATCTTGACCTGAATGGAACCTGAGACCCTTCAGTCCACAGGCTGATGCTCTGTCCATTGAGCCAAAACGGCTAGGGCTCTGTCTCATTCACTTTAATAAATATTTATTCAGCATCTACTGAAATTTTAGACACTGTACTAGAGACTATAAGAAAATATTCATGGCCATACCCTTGTTTGAACTATAATAAACTAAGAGGAACTTAATAGCAAATGAACACAAGGAAATGTCCAATGTGCTCAGAGAATTAGAGATCTAATTTGCGGTGCATAGAGGGTCACATACAATACCTCTTTGTGAGAAATGGGGTGATGGGATAACAAAAGTCCTAAGCTTTATGTGTTTGTTACTTTTTTCTTCATGCTTGACTTTTTTATAGATATGTAAAAGAACTTTGAATGGTTGTACCATAATTTCATTGCACTTTTCAAAAAAAGAAGATTTTCTATTTATACCAATGTTTTCTTTGCTGATATAGCACTGGATGGACATTTTTGATCATGTGTTCTCTCTATAACCATTTTCCATAATTCTACCATGTGAAAAATATTCCAGAAATAACATTACTAGGGCAAAAACTAAGGCTTTTTTAAGAATAGCTTTAGAACCATATTTATTTTCTAAAGGTTGTTTATATGATTATCAACCATGAGTTAATGGTATACTCACCTTTGCCTTACCAGCACAGAATATTATTAATAATGTTTTAAGGGTAAAATTAAATATACATATACATACATACATATATATACATACAAACACATAACATGTTTAGAAGCATATCTAAAAATATAACTATTTTAATATATCAATAGTAATTAACTGTGTCTGTTTTTGTTCTATGATGTCAATTTATATAGAAATACTTCCACACATATTTAATTCTTACATGAACTTATATAAAGTCTCAATACATAGCATTAGTTCACTTAGCTTACTTTAATGTATTTACTGCATTAAAACAAATGAAAATGAGTCTGCCCATTTATTGCATATTTCTCTTTTCAGGAATACCACATATTGCAGCAAAGTTGCATTTCCTCTGGAAGTTGTCCAAAAAGCTAGCTGCTTCAATTCTCCCATGAAAATCCCAGTGCATAAACTGTATATAGAATATGGTGTTCAGAAGATCACTTGTCCAAATATAGATGGATACTTTCCTTCCAGTGTCAAACCAGCCATCACTTGGTATATGGTAAGCAAACTGGAGGGCACTTTACCCTCTCTAAATGGCAACAATTATTTGTTGACTTAATGTGGAAACTGAAAATTTTCTAATCAGATTTTCAATATATTCTTTAGTGACTTTATACAATTTTTTAACTGCTTCCTCACTTTACGACATTTTAAAGGAAGTGCTGGAGGACACGTTGCCTCAACCCAGCATTCCTTAAATTATGTTCACTGGACTACTATAACTACCTTGGTCCTATTAACTTCCTCTGAAATACAATTTGAGAAATGTTGCCAACTTCCTCTCTGTTCTGTGAGGTTGGAGCTGCTAATTCATCTGGTGAATTTCAACTCCTAAACTAGTCAGTATTTTGTTACTTATATGTATTTCATGTTTGCTCTCATTTACAGACACAGTCCACCTGTGGTCTCTTTCACATCTCAGGGATTTGGGAAATGTTTAATAAAAAATTATAGTGTTAGAAGGTGGCATGTGTGACAACAGCTACATAGTTGTTGTTTTTTAAATAATACATTTTTATTGATTTCAGAGAGGAAGGGAGAGGGAGAGAGATAGAAACATCAGTGATGAGAGGAAATAATTGATCCACTGCCTCCTGCACACCCCTACTAGGGTTTGAGCCTGCAACATGGGCATGTGCCCTGACTGGGAATTGAACCGTGCACTCCTGTTTCATAGGTTGATGCTCAATCACTGAGCCATGCCAGCTGAGCTAGCTGCTTAATTTTTTAACCTCTTCAAATATCCACATAAGCCAAAGCCAAACTCCTGAACAACATTTAAAACAAAACTCAATATTGTTATCCATAAGAATCACTTTCAATAAAACAAGTGAGTCAAGCCACAATCTTATGTAAAATTAGTGTCTCTAGGGAAAAGGAGGAGGTGGAAGTAATGTGGTACGGGGCAGACTTGAGGGGTCAAAAGCCCATGGATACTCACTGGAAAGCATGGTGAGCCAACTTAGGAACATCAGCTGAAGTTGGGAAGGGCGGGTCCAAGATGCCTATAGTAGGAAATTCTGAAGGGTTTGGAATTGTTTTGGTGCCTTGGAACTCTGCAAAACAACTACTCACAGTGAGGAGAAATGGCTGGTAGTGGAATCATAAGTAGACAACATCAGGATAATACAGGGGCAAGAGTAAGTGTACAGTTGTGAGTATGGGAAACAGAGTTTATTCTTGTATTCTTATTTCTTAAATATTGTATTATTTTTCATATAAACAATTGTACACCTACTTTTGCCCATCCTGTAGAGAGGAAGGGAAGAGAAGAATGGGAGCAGCAGAACAGTCAGGAAATCTCAAAACCATACTTTTGAAGGGGAATCTCTCTGAAGTTAGAAAATCCTGCCAGATTGTAAAACTCAGGAAAAACAAACTAGTTTCCCATGAAAATGAACAATAAGGTAAAGCTTCCATTCAAAATTGTAAGAAAAAGGAGAATAAGAAGCAGAATAACATTCTGCAAAAAAAAAAAAGCATACCAGAAGGACATATTGTAACCCACTATTTAAAAAAATGAGCCAAAAAATTAAGAAATGCTACAAGATGAGAAGAATAAATAAATTTGAATTATAAAAGTCCAGAAGTTATAAAACTCAGTAACAACTTAGAATAGACATTTTAGAAATGAAGCTAAACTAAGAGGAACATAACACCAAATGAATACACTAGATAATGCCTTCAGATTAACAGGAAGTGGGGAAAAATATTAAATCAAACTTAAATGCTGAATAAAAATAAGAAGGATAAAATGTATATACCAAAATCATATAAAGTAGACTAGTAAATAAAGGGGAAAAGTCAAGTATTTATTCTGCCTTTCCCATAAGACATGTACATTTAGTTATGAAATGATGCATAGAAGTATGTTTTTATAAAATTATATAATCAGTTTGAAACCACAATGACAATAAATCTAAGCATTAAGCATCAATGACAGCTACCATCACAAGAGAGGTAACAACCAGGCATATTCCTTCTGATGAAAGAAGAGTATTAATTATAATTGTGCCAAGTGGATTTTGGATACTGCTGCCATTTTGCTGTAAATATAGAGAACAGAAGAATATATTGATCTGTACCACGAGTTTGTAGTCAGCAAAATCCCGACTGTGGAAAACTATATGCCAAAGGCCGTAGGTTATTCAACAGAAATTCTTCAAGAAAAAACAAAAGCATATTGTGGGAACATATTGATTAAAAAAACACATATGAGACAAATTTGAAAATGGATGTGACTACAGTGTCTAAGGATGTACTATAGATGATACAATTAAAAAAGAAAACAAGGAGGTGATTTTACTATAAAAATATATAGGTAGTGGCTACCTCAGCAGGTTGCAAAAGAGCTGGGATTGACATAGGACATTTGGAAAGTAACTGGCAACATTCTACTCCCGAACCTGAGTGGTGTTTGCTTTATAATAATTCGTTAACTGATAAATTTCAAGTTTCTGTGTATTGTATTATATAATAAAACTGCTAAGAAAAAGAAAGGGGAAGAAAGAAGGAAACAAAGAAAATGAGCAAGAGAGATTTAAGATCAATTGCAGTGTAAGAATCTTAGATCATGCTTTGTTCAAATAAACTATAAAACAAGTTATGAGAAAATCAGGACAATCTGAACAGAATATTAATGATACCAGTGAATTATTATTACTGTTTTAAACTGTGATAACAGCACTATAGTTATGCTTGCAGAAGGAGTCTTGTCATTTAGAGATACATAGAAATACTTACAAATGAAATTATGCAATATCTGTGATTTGCTTTAAAATATCTTGGACTGCAGTGAGTGGGTATAGATGAAATAAAACAGTCTAAATTGCTACTTTTGAGACTAGGTTTGTGTACAGGGGATCATTGTGTATTTTTTCCATGATTGTCATTTTTCATTGTAAAAAGCATAATAAATAATTGGAAGAGTAATATTAACAACTAGAGGCCCAGGGCATGAATTCGTGCATAGGTGGGGTCCCTCAGCCTGGCCAGTGATTGGGGCCAATGGGATGGGCCAGCCAGCTGGGGGAAGGGGCCGAGGGAGGTTGGCTGGCCGGCTGGGAGGAGGAACGTGGGAGGTTGGCCAGCCGCCCCCCGCACCCGCCATTGGGGCCAATGGGGGAGGCGCTGGGGGGAGGGACCTTGGAAGGTTGGCCAGCTGAGGGGAAGGACCACGGGAGGTTGGCTAGCTGCAGGAGGTTGGCTGTGGGAGTGCATTGACCACCAGGTGGTAGCTCCTGCATTGAGCGTCTGCGCCCTGGTGGTCAGTGCATGTCATAGCAACTGGTTAACTGGTCATTTGGTCGTTCGGGCTTTTATATATAAAGACTTTACATCAATAAGTATATCTTCAATTTTTTTAAATGTGTTCATCTAGTTATCAAGGTCTCTTATCTCTAGTTCTATTCACTTTTTTATATTTTGAATACTCAATAGTCTGAAAAAAATTAATCGTATTTTTTTACCAAAGGATCTCACAATTTAATTGACAAGTTTATAAATAAGAATAATTTATACTCTTATTGAAAGGCAGAATTATAAGTTCCAAAGAGAATTTATTGTTTGTTTTAAAAACAGGGAGAAATTTACATGCATCGCCTTTATGAAATTGACTATTTCTTGAGGGAAAAATTATGCCATACTTATCTCTGTATTTTCAATGATTCCCAGATTTTTTTTTTCCTGGTTGGAAGGATGTCAGTGATATTAACCAAGGTATGAAATAGCAGAGGAGGAGCAAGTTTGGGGAGCCAGTGAAAGATTTAGATAATGTCATATTGAGTTAGAGGTGTCTGTGAGACATCTGGGTAGCAGTGGCCAGTAGGTAGTGGCACATGTGTGTGAATCTGGAGCTTAGAACAAAAGTCAAAGTTGGATTCAGAGAATTGGATGCGCCTGTATGATAGTTGGAGCCCTTAGAGACTAAGATCAAAATCCAGAGAGAGAGTGTTCCTGGGGTGAATGAAAACAGAAAGCCTGGAAAGAAGACTGAGAAAAAAAGTCGTAGTGGTCAAACCATCTCCATGGTAGATAACCAACAATGTTCGGGTGGCTAAGAAGAAACAGGTGATCAGCCATCATTTCTAGTCTGTAAAAAGTCAGTCTTGATCCGTGGCATACCTCTTTTATTTCTTTATACTTGGGTATTTGACTGAAATCATTAATCCTAAGAGTTCTGCCATCCTGGGTATGAAATCAGAGTTCTTGGTAGTTGGATTGTCCTGTCACTGTATAGCAATGATGATGTTGCTTTCTGTTTTCTACCTTCTACAGAAACTCCCTGGGTCCTCATAGAGTAGACTCTTTCAATTTTTATAAACTGAATTCTCTGCCCTGACTTTGTAAAAACAGTCTCTTTTTCTAATACACATAACTGTGTGAGAGTTAAAAGACACATTAATTTGTTTCAGCAATTTTCTTCCTCTTAGCCAAATGATGAAATCTGATAAATTGAAAGACAGAAAAGGAAACTAAGGGTTGTTGCATTTTGCTTGTAAAATACATTGTGCTAGGTACTTTATATGTTATGTGTAATATTCATCACCATCCTTCAAGGTAGATGTCATCCTTTCACAGATTATGAAGCCAAGTCTCGGAGAGGCAAACAATAGAGCACAAGATTATTAACTTAATTTTCTTAACATGAGGTAAGTTATCTTGTGCTCTCCATTTTGTAGTTAAGATAGAGCAACTGAGATATTTGCTTAAAGTCGCAGAGCTAGAAGCCAAGATTCAACCTCATATCGAGTCCATACTTTTACACTGTGGTATATCATTTACTCAAAAGCAATCTAGCTGATAGTGGAGAATCTGGGATTTCAGGCTAGTTCTGTTTTGGTTTCAAGGTTATACTCTTCAGAAATGACATTGAGAGCGTGGTCAGTCTTAGGACACTTGGAAGGGTGGGGTAGTCTTTGAACACAGGTTGGGTTGTAAGCTGAACTGTGGAACACAAGGAAACCCATGGATAGAGGGCCCCAGGAAATCAGAGGGGGC